TGTATGTATATATATATATATATATATATATATATATATATATATATATATATATATATATCGGAAAAAGAACCATTCACCCGAACTCTTCACCGAACAATACCTCCCCCTAAAATAAAAGAAATAAAAAAAACACACATAAAATGCAAGCAATATTCTCCACCAACAAAAACACACACAAACACCAATAAATAAACAAATATCTAATAAAAAAAATACCAAACCAAATAAAATATTTACGACACACTGATGAACGCTAACTAACGAAAGCACAGCGGCCCCGCAAACGAAACAAACAATCAGAACCGGACGGAAGATCAGATATGCCTGCGACCAGCGATCCCGCTCGTCCGACAGCCATAAAACAAGCACAAAAGTAAATACGAGAGAGAGAGAGAGAGAGAGAGAGAGAGAGAGAGAGAGAGAGAGAGAGAGAGAGAGAGAGAGAGAGAGAGAGAGAGAGAGAGAGAGAGGAAGGGAGGGAGGGAGGGAGGGAGGGAGAGAGAGAGAGGGAGAGGGGGAGAGAGAGGGGGAGAGAGAGGGAGAGAGAGGGAGAGAGAGAGAGAGAGAGAGAGAGAGAGAGAGAGAGAGAGAGAGAGAGAGAGAGAGAGAGAGAGAGAGAGAGAGAGAGAGAGAGAGAGAGAGAGAGAGAATGACCCTGAGACAGAGACGAAAACAACCCTAGGGAAGAGAGAGAGAAGGAGAGAGCTCGAGGAAAGAGAAAGGAGAACAAGAGAAAAAAAAACTCCCCTCCCCCCAAAAAAAAAGGGAGAGAGCCACAAACAGACAGACAGACAGACAGACGAGCAGGCATCAGCGCACAGTCCAAACGCCAAACAGACACAGCTGGGCGTCAGAGAGACCGGTTGGGCGAGGGAAAACTGAATAATAATGAAAGAGATTGCAAGAGAAAGTGGCAAGTGCTAGTCTATATGGACAGGCGCACTTTAATCCACACGAATAATTAGGAAGCAGATTAAAAATGAACGAGTTATCCCTCGGACTTCGTCTCTTGCTAATTATATGTGCAAGGATGGGAAGGTATATGCGTGTCGCTGCGTATGCTTTGTGTATAAATCTACGGACGCTGGGTATAATATAGCATAATATAACGTATAATATGATGTGTAATACAATGATATACGTAGTTATTAGATGGACAGACAGATAGATAGATAGGTATGGATGTATAGATGGAAGATTGGATAGACAAACGAAATGATGGATAGATAGACAGATTAAGAATAGATAGATAGATAGATAGACAGACAAACAGACAGACAGAGAAAGAGAGAAGAGAAAAAAGAGAGAAAAAGAGAGAAAAAGAGAGAGAAAAAGAGAAAGTCAAAAACAAAGACAAAAAGAGAAAAAGAGATAAAAGACAAAGAGAAAGAGAGAAAAAAGAGAGAAAGAGAGACAAAGAGCAAGAGAAAGAGCGTCCCCCGAGGAAAAGACGCGGCGACCTAAGCGCGCCCGGCCCGCGGCACTTCATAACTTCCCCGGCAGCTTGTAAGTTCAGACCTATCCCAAGTCGCCATTCCACCCCCCCTACCCTCCCCCTTCCCACTCTCTTCCCCGCCCCTTCTGCTGTTTCTTCTTCCTTCCTTTTCTTCTCCCGTTATCATTTTTCACACACTTCCCCCTTCCACTTCCCCTTTTCTCTACTCCTTCCCCTCTATCTTCCTCCCTCCCTCTTCCTCTCTCCTCCATCCTAACCATCTCATTCGCTCTCCCTTGATCCCCCTTTCCCCTTCCCTCTCCCCTCTCCCCTCCAATCCCCACCTCCCCCTCCATCCTTCCCTCCAATCCCCACCTCCCCTCCACTCTCCCTTCCTCCATCTACAACACTTCTCCACCCCCCCCTCCATCCTCCCCTCTCCCCTTCCAATCCCCACCTCCCCCTCCACTCCCCCCTCCCCCATCTACAACACCTCCCGCACCATCAGGTACAACCCCCCCCCCCAGCCTTCGTCCTCCAACCCCGCGACGCCCGAGTTCGATATCATCCCCATCAGCTGTCAGTCGCCGAGCAGACCTTTTCGTCCCTAAAACTGGCGTTGGCTGGTCTCGGTCTCTGTCTCTGTCTCGGTCTCTGTCTCGGTCTCTATCTCGGTCTCTGTCTCGGTCTCTGTCTCTATCTCTGTCTTGGTCTCTGTCTCGGCCTCTGTCTCGGTCTCTATCTCTGTCTCTGTCTCGGTCTTGGTCTCGATTTCGGTCTCTTGTGCAGAGGCGAAGTAAGAAAGGAAATAATAAAAAAAAAATTGAAAGGAAATGAAAAGGGAGAGAGAACGGTGGAGTGGAGAAGGGAGGAGAGGAGATGAAGAAAAAAAACGTAAAGAGAAGAGAAGAGAGTAGAGATAAATAGAAAAAAAGAGAGAATTAGAAAAAAAAAATAGAACAGAACAGAAGAAAAAAAAAATCACGTAATAACTCCTCCAGACACAGACCTATCCCAATTCGCACATGAGAGAGAACACCCTTTTTTCTTTCTTTCTTTCTTTCTTTCTTTTTTAATTCGTGGGCACTTCGAACGACAATTATCCCCGCCGTCACCTCTTAACAATCAAGCACAAGAACCGCAGCTTTTAATGACGACCAGACAGGCGAACGACTACCACCAACCAACCACCGCCATCTTTAATCCTGTCCTCGTCCACTATCTAGCCTTCCCTCTTTCTTTTCTTCTATCTTCTTATTATTGTCTTCTTCTTCTTCTCCTCTCCTTCTTCTTCTACTTCTCGTTCACGTCCAACGAACTAGTCTCCTTCTCCTCCTCCTATCTTTTTCCCCTCTTCTTTTCCCTTCTACTCCTTCCCTTCCACACCCAACCATCTTCTCTCTCCCTCTCTTCCTCCTCCTATCTATCCTCCTCTTACACCACCTAAATGAAACTAAAAGAAAAAGAGAATGAGGACCAGGAAGAAGAAGAGGAACAAGAGAAGGAGGAAGAGGAGCACAAGAAGGAGAAAGACAAGCAAGAAAAGAAAGAATAGGAGCAAGAAAAATGAGGGAAAAGAATGACGATAAACAAGAGAAAGCCCAGAAAGAAGAAACGCAAGACAAAGCAGAGACAAGAGAAGCAAATGAAGAACGAATACGAGCAAAGAAAAATGAAGAAAAGCATGACGACAACCAAGAAGAAGCCCAGAGAGAAGAAACGCAAGAGAAAGCACAGAGACAGGAGAAGCCAGGGGGAGAGGGCCCTGTGGCATCCGAACCGAACCGGGCGTCGGGTATGATGCCCAGGCACCCCCGAACACGACCTGAAGCTCCGGGAAGCCCACGTTCCTCTGGTTCCCTTCGGCAGGTAGCTCGGCTGATCTCTTGGCGCGATAACCTGTCTGACACACGTTTCTGTATTCGTATTCAAAGCGAATTAAAAAAGAAAAAAAAAAACTTTCAAAAGAACTCGATGTTTAGCGACAACAGAGACGCACAAAAATTGACACTGATAGCTGAAGGGAAGAGTAAGATTTCTAATCTGGTGACACTTCCTAAAATGAAATTATTAATACTTATTTCTATTCAGGTTTATCATTATTTATTTTACTCTATCTTATCTATTTTTTTATTTATTCATTTTTGGGGGGTGAATGAACTACGTGCGGGACTGTACAAAAATCTAATTATTAGGCTGTCAGGTATTTTTCTACTTTTTTTTTCTCTTTCCTTTCCCCCCCCCCACTTTGACATTCACTGGATGAGCTTACTGTCAACTGTCGTGTACTATTTACTGCTATGGAGTGTGCCATTTGCAAAGGCTTTTTTTCCTCTCACCTTTTACCCTTTTTTATCACAACGTGTATGCCAAAAGGAAATATATGAAGAGGCAGACCAACTGTCATGCGAACATATTTCCTTCTCCCCACAGTAACCAGACAGATAGATAGATAGATAGACAGATAGATAGATAAATGAATGAATAAATAAATAAATAAAATGAATATATCCCATGTCTGCACAAACCTCAAAAAAGAAAAGCTAACATGAAGTCAAAACATGTTCAATTATATCCCACTCCAGAGCCAAGCATAGGCCTATATTTCCCAATCACAAAACAAAACAAACACAAAATAAACAAAGATACGAAAAAAAAATAACACACATCACCGATTCTCAAACAAGTCAATTTTCTGACAGACTCCGTTTCAAAGAGAAAGAAAACGAAAAACGAAAGAAAAATAAGCAAGAAAGAAAGAGAGAGAAAGAGAAAGAGAGAGAGAGGAAAAAAACAGAACTTTGACAACACAACACAATTGCTCTCCCCTTGACTTTACACTAAAAAATACGATAGGTTTTTTTTACAGTCTTCTTGATACTACACACGTTCTAACGTTATATCTCGAGGCTAAGGAAGGAGAGAGAGAGAGAGAGAGAGAGAGAGAGAGAGAGAGAGAGAGAGAGAGAGAGAGAGAGAGAGAGAGAGAGAGAGAGAGAGAGAGAGAGAGAGAACAGGAGAAAGACGAGAGAGAGAGGGGAAGGGGGTGATAAAGGTAGATGAATGGATATGAAGGAGGGAATGAAGGAGAAAAAGGAGATGGGGAGAAGAGGATAAGAAGAGGAAGTGAGAAGGGAATAGATAAGACAGGAAGATGGATGACGAGTAAAAATCGAGAGAAGGAGTGAGAAGAAAGAACAAATGAAAGGAGAAATGAAAAAAAACTAAGAAATAAGAAAATAAGAAACAAATAAGAAAAGACAGTGAACGGAAGACAACTAAAACAAAGACAAAATCAAGAAAATAAGTGACAAACGAAGAAAGTTTTAGATGAAAAGTTGAGAAACTAAAATATCACAAAACCTTAAAAAAAACATTTTCTTTCTCTCTTTCGCACATTTATCCGAAGAACGTAGAATAAAGTCCAGAATAAAGTATGAAAATAAATACACCACCACAACATTTTCTTTTTTAATAAATAAATATTTGCATATCAACATGTAATGGAATTTTATCACAAACACATGTAATAATATTAAACCTTTTTTTCGGATTTACTTAC